CAGCACATACAAAGAGAAACGTGCGGTAGCCCCTGTGTGACAGGCCAAGACTAGTATGATTCTAGGCTCTTGGTCGTATTCCCTTAAAGGAATCTATTCCTAATTCCAAGCCTTGAGCTCTACCCCGGGCCCAGGAGTCTGGTTCTAACAGGTAAGTATTTTGGGGTATGTAGCTTAGGCCTTCGCGTGGGTATACCGTACCCCATAGCGACCCCTAGAGGACGCAGTTCGAAGTTCCCATGAAATGGAACATCTCAGGTTACTTATGTAACCATGGTTCCATGAGCACAGCTCCTGTACCACCGCTGAGCGGCCGGGTCACCGGCTCGGCTCCTCAGCGAAAACCTGAATATGCGCTGCACCTGCTGCCTACTTATACTCATGCTGTGATCAGCAGCAGCTGGATGCAATAATCGCATGCCAATGTGCATTGGCTCGTTTAGTTTGCACTCGAAGTAGATTGGTCCCTCTAAGCGAGATCCCAATTTCGTCGGTCCTCCGACGTGACGTCTCCGTTCCCTCCTTCAGGGAACGAGGGTTACATACGTAACCGAGACGTTACATAAGTAACCTGAGATGTTTTCTCTCATTACACAAGCTCAAAGTTCACCTTTTGAGGGGCTTGAATCTGATGGTTAGGAAATGAATCATTAAACTCTGACCAGGGGTCAGAGAAAAGCCTCCCCCAACCCTTCCTTTCATAGCTCAGAGGGAAAAAAACAAACACTTTAATTCAGTTGATGCTGTTAACCTTCCAATTAGGGACTGTGTCCAATTAGACCAATTTTCCCTTTCAGAAGTCTTGTTGTAATAGTTGTTTAAAAGTGTGTGCTTGAGCTAATGAATGACTCACAATAGGAAAATCCTGCAAGAGAGACAGACACACAGTGCCTCAAGCTCTCTCCTCCACTAAACACATGGAATAATTTCATCTAGCCTTTATAATTTCATCTAACCTTAAACGTTCTGAGCGAAAAACCTTGATGTCACTATTACTGAAGTCATAATCCCTTTTCAAAAGAGCAAAGGTGAACAACAACAGAACAGCCAAACAAAATCTGACAGATCAGTCTCTATCTACTACTAGCTTGAAAACATATTACTGTAGAAAACGTTTTTTAAAGAATTATCTTTTGGGAGTGTTTTCATGAACACTAAAGACAAATTTTAAAGGAATGTTTCTGCATGTTTCCTGAACTGTTTCAGGTGACACACTGGCACAGCCCGTACTTCTATGCATACTTTCCTACTGCCAACTCTTTTCCTGCAATGCTGGCAGATATGCTGTGTGGGGCCATTGGCTGCATTGGATTCTCTTGGGTATGTTTTTTCTCTCTCTCTGTACATCCACATATCTGTCTATCCATCCAGTTAGCCATCTGACTGTCCCTCCGTTGAACCATCTATTTATCTATCCATCTATTTAACCACATGCTAGTCTGTCTGTCCATCCATCCATCCATCCATCCATCCGTTTTTAGCAAACCCATCCATCCATCCAGCATCCATCTGCTTTTCCATCCACCCATCCATCCATCCAGCGTTAATCTGCTTTTCCATCCATACATCCAATGTTTTTTTTTCTGTCCATCCACGTATTCAGTTAGCCATCTGTCTGTCCCTCCATTGAACCATCTATCCATCCATTAACCCACCTGCCAGTCTGTCTGTCTGCCTATCCATCCATCCATCCATCCATCCACTTATTTAGCAACCTGTCTGTCCATTTTTGCATTTATCTGTTTAACCACCTGCCTGCCCATCCATCCATCCATACATACATTTCTTTTCCATCCATACATCCAATGTTTTTTTTTCTGTCCATCCACGTATTCAGTTGTCTGTCTGTCTGTCCCTCCATTGAACCATCTATCCATCCATTAACCCACCTGCCAGTCTGTCTGTCTGCCTATCCATCCATCCATCCATCCATCCATCCACTTATTTAGCAACCTGTCTGTCCATTTTTGCATTTATCTGTTTAACCACCTGCCTGCCCATCCATCCATACATACATACATTTAGCCACCTGTCTGTCTGTTAATTCTGCATCCATCTGCTTTTCCATCCATCCATCCATCCATTCATCCATACATACATTTAGCCACCTGTTGGTCTGTTAATTCTGCATCCATCTGCTTTTCCATCCATCCATCCTCCATTCATGACATCTGAAGCTCTCATCTTGTAGGCTGATGCAGGTTTTTATTTATTAATTCATTTTATGAACTTATTTATTTTTGTAGGCAGCAAGTCCTGCCTGTACAGAGTTGGAGACAGTGATGCTGGACTGGCTGGGAAAGATGCTGAAGCTACCAGAAGATTTTCTTGCTGGTACAGAGGGCAGAGGGGGAGGGGTCATCCAGGTGAGATAATTAAGAAGATTTTATCTGCAAGTATTGCAAGTTTATATAAAGATCTATATGGTATCACTTATATACATGGTTTTTAACCAAGGGTCAATGAAGGGGGTCCATGTACTGCTGGGGGTCTTTGGCGAAGATAAGATATTAAATATATATATTTCTAATTCAAGACATGTCTAAATATGTGAATGCACATTACCTTTAAGCATCTATTGTTACGCAAAGGTTAATTCATATTATGAAGTCCACAACATGTGTAAAATGTTGAAAATATGGTTTTAAAATAATTACATATCCGAATTCCCATCAGGATCTTGTGCCCGGTGTCAAAATGTGAAAATTTTAAACCACTTTAATGCCACCTCTGCAACCTTAATCCATGTTTACGGGCAATTTATTTTGACCAATAACAAATATCAAAAACATGTCCCTCACAACAATTTGTTTGTCATTGATTTCTTCTCTAGGCCCTGGAAATTGTTATGTCCTGTAGAAATTGCCTTTTAAGACATCAGCTACACATGAGAGGAGACAGTCAGGAGGGCGTGCGTTGAGAGCGGTCCGCGATCATTTTGTCACTATGGATGTAGCAGTTGAGCAGCTGTGACCATTTAGAGAGAAATACAGGAAGCTCAGTGTATGGAAAGCCCACTGATGATAGTCGGTTTGATGCTCTGTCATTAAGGCCGCTTTGGAGTGTGTGTGTCCTCCTACTGAATGGTTTTTGTCTCTGGGCTTTTCAGAGAGCTCACTATGGCAACAGGCATTTTTTTCACTGATAGCATGCACTAATGATGGAGTTTGTTGGTTTGTAAACAATGCCTATCAGCAAAGGTGGGCATAATAGAGAAGGGAGGAGAACAGTTGGAAGTAGAAGACAATTCTGAAAGTATAACTAAACATGTAGAAGTTTTCATGTTTTTGTTGAGTATCATATTTGATACATCGTGTTTTTATGGCTTATAGGGGAATGTGTAGTTCATGCTCAAGGAGGTAAAAAGGAGACAAAAGCATCTCAATCTCATTCAAACTGAGCAAAAATATGCAATTTGGTGCAGATGCTGATATTTTTATGGCTAAAAACATACAATTCTCAGTGTTTGTAATGTAAATCCATGAGATCTTTAGAATAGAATAGCAGACTACTTACATAAAATGCAGCTGTCACACTAATCATATAATGCAATGCAACTGAAACATACAAATCAAAGTTCTTCAAAAGCCTGACGTATCATATTTAATGCATTTTAACATTATTTTTCTAAAAAGATTATCTATATAAGTAAATTTTCAGTCCACTCATCTTGAAATGCTACAAACAATATAAAAGCTAATCTTTTATTTACTTAAAGATTTCCCAGCAAAAAGATTGCGATGTATTGTGATCTGAACATTTTTAGAATTAAAAGGATTTTAATAAGAGGCCTTTTACTTGCTAAATAAGTATCAATCAGATGACAAAAGGCATGTAGTAGATTGTTTAAAACAGGTTTTTAGCAAAGTTTTGATCATGTTGATCATTTAGAAGCCTTAGAAATTTGCATGTCAAATATGATACAGTAGGCTTGATAGGGTTAAATATGGTGAATATGGCATTTAATCAAAGAATTTGGAATTGAAAACACAAGTGTGGCTCCAGTGTTCCAGATGATCTCATAAAGTAAACTGAATCATTAGTAATCAGGACGTGGGTGTGCGCTGTCAGGCTTATGAAGGGAAATCAAAGAGAGCTCGTGCTTCACAATGAGCTGTATTGAGGGGTTTCGAGTAGAAGTCTTCTCATTCACTCCTTGAGAACATATAAAACAGAGCTGGAGAGGTGATGAAAATTCATCACTGCTGCATTTACAATCAGCAGCATCAGGGCATATTGATCGAGGTTTGTTTTGCTCAATGTGATATTTAAGATGAGGGAAATAATGTCTCAAGTAATATTCAACATGTCTACCAATTGTGAGACCTGCTCAATATAGGCTGCTTTTGAATTTTCATAAACAGCAGCATTTGGTGTACATGTTCAAAGTATCAAGTATAAATAAATATAACGTGTTTTGGTTTGTACAGGGCACTGCCAGTGAAGCCACTCTCATAGCTCTTCTTGCTGCTCGTTCCAAAATCGTCAAACTGATCCAGGCTGACCATCCTGACCGATCTGAGACACACATTATATCCAAACTAGTCGCCTACTCGTCTGATCAGGTAAGACAACAAGCCCAGATGAAAGACTGCCGCAGAGGTATATTTAGCCTAGAATAATGGCCTGCAATGGCCATTCAGCAGGCACTGTGACAATGGCATCATGCCCATCTGTAAGTAGGAATCTGTTATTGGGGATGATTAGCAAGAATTCTCATTGAATGGAAATATCAAACTATGTGAAAGAGCCATGCAGTGGGTCTCTGAGGTATCAGTATAGTTGTGAAGTGCCACTTGTTTATGAATGTGCTTACAGCATATGTGTGTCTAATAGGAAACCATGAATCACTGGTTATGTTTTTGAAACAAGATCAATAATTCAGAAATAATATGGCAGTGTTTTGTTGATATTTCAGGCGCACTCATCGGTGGAGAGGGCAGGTTTGATAGGTGGATTAAGGATGAAGAAAATTCCCACAGACAATAAGTTTTCTGTACGAGGAGATGCGCTGCAGAAAGTTCTAGAAGAGGACAGAGCCACAGGACTCATACCATTTTTTGTATGTACATCTCTAATAACTACAAGCTTCTCTTAAACAGCACAACTATTGTCTTAAGGGTAACACTTTAATTTAGGGACCAATTCTCACTATTAACTAGTTGCTTATCATGCCTATTCCAGCTACTTTATTAACTATCAATAACCAGCAAATTAGGAGCATATTGAGGCAAAAGTCATAGTCAATAGTTAGTTAATGGTGAGAATTGGTTCCCAAACTAAAGTGTGATCACCTTAAGAATTGTTTTGGGCTCTCGGGCGAGATCCCAATTCGTCAGTCACTGACGTAACGTTGAACGTGACTGACTGAATGGGAACACTACTTTGCTTTGTCCATTTGAAATGCATAATATAGCCAATTAATTCATCAAACCAACTACATATTTTTTTGTTTAGAAATGTTTTAATTAGTAACACAATATATATGGGAATACTGATGGTCAGACATAGGATTTTCAATAGTTTCGAGTACAGTAATTCATATTTTTTGTATTTTTTGACACAAAAAAAATCCAGTCAACTGGAAATTATTTTAACCCTGACATCATGCTAGGAAATGTGGCAGAATTTGCTCTCAAATCTTAATGATTAACCCTTACCATCAAACTTGCAGCCACTATCTATATCAAGTGCAAAAAAGAGCATGAAATGAGAACAGATTGGACATTTGTCTTTGCTCTTTCTCTGAACATATCCCCCTGCGGTCTGCATGATGGTTAATGCTGTTTGGAGAGCATGTTTTCTGAATCACATTAGTCAAATTAGCTCCAGGCTCAGCCGGCAGACCTGTGTCAGAAGAATCACAGCGTAATGACATACCAAGCAGGAACACATCTTTTTGTGATCAAAATGAATAGCTCAAATTCATTTTTCATTGAGCATTCTAGATTCGGATAAAGAAATGTCTAGATGGACGTATTTGTATAAGTAGTACATTAAATATTAAAATCAACACATAATAATCCATCTATTTTATTTTCTGGATGTTTCTCTTAGTTTTGTGCAACATTGGGAACAACTCCATCCTGTGCATTCGACTGTGTCACTGAGCTCGGCCCTATATGTAAGACCATTTATTGTTATTTTCTTTTGTAGCTTATTTGTGGTTGCAGTCAAATATATATATGTTGAATATTTTTATAGAAGCATTGCCATTGTTTAGGTAATGCAGAGAAAATCTGGATGCACATTGATGCTGCGTATGCTGGGAGTGCATTTATCTGTCCAGAGTTTAGACCCCTGCTGAATGGCATAGAGGTAAGATAACATTCAAATCACACAGTGTGTTATTAAGCACACTTCATACATGGTGCTCCTGAAGCCCCGAGAGGCGCGAATGATAACAGAAGAGCAATTTGTGCTGGGCTCAAACTATTGATCCTGTTACTTTAGTGGTGTGTTGAGGATGTTGTCATGTGTGTGTGATTGAAAATATTTAAATGTCACAAATGATGCGAGCTGGCATGAGCGATGTCTTGTGGAATGGGCGGGATATTAGAGATCCCTGATTGTCCTTTGAGTTGTCATGGAGTCCAGCTGGGAGTCACAATGATAAGGGTAAAGTAATTTCCTGAGGCATATGAAGACCTTTAGATAAGTTCCTTTTTTCCCTTGCTAAAGAAATATCACTGTTTATTAGCAGCACTAGTTCAAACAATAGTGAAGACTGCTCCCCTGCACAGACAATGTTTTTTTTTTTTTATTATTGACCGGAATGACAGCCGGCTGCTGTTTGTTGGTTACCAGGAAGTGAAAGACAGGCAGGACTCAGCATGGCAACAATCAAACCGTCATGGCAGTGTCTGCCTTCTTTATTGCGTCGGATAGAAAGGATATTGGAAGGGGGAGAGTGAGCAAAAAAATTAGACTCTGAGATAGTGGCTCTTTGCGAATGCTCATTGAACAGATGCTGCAGTTGATTGCAAGTTTGAGGCATAATATGCTATTGCGTCAGAGTCGAAAGTAGTTCATATCAGACCATGCTAGCAGGTAGCTGACAGATGACTCATCTTTATTTTCAGCAAGCCAAATTTATTTTCATATTCCAAAATCACACTCTTTATTTTAGCACCGATTTAAGGGATAAAATAGTCTGCAAAACTGAATGAATGAATATGTAAATACTAGTATATTATTAGTTAATAATGATTAATAATTAGTTAATAGTAAATACTAGTTTTATTATAAATATTGACAAATCTAGCAATCACTTAATGAATAAACATATGAATAATTGAGATACAGGACTTTAGCTTTATCAACTGTATTGGCACCTCTGTTGTTGGTGTTGCTAGATACTATTCTGGCCTATTAAAAATGATGGAAATTATCTTAAAATCCCAAACAATTTGAATTGCATTTAGATATCATGGTCACAATAAAGAAAGATAGAAACTAAATATCTATAAAACTCAGCAGAGTGTCTCTGATGGTAATGGAATGGAAATGTTACTAATTTAACCAATAGCAGGAACATTTTGTGGCATATTTTGTCCCCTTTCTCAAGAGTAAGTGTTAGATACATCAGTTCACAACAAATCACATCAAAATTTGCTTCTCTTTTAGTTTGCAGACTCTTTCAATTTCAATCCTCATAAATGGCTCCTGGTCAACTTTGACTGCTCAGCAATGTGGTAAGTGTTTAGTGGCTCTGTCAGTATATTTAATTTATCCTCTGACCTGATCTACTGTATCCCAACATCTATTAGTTGGCTTTATCAGTCAACAGAGGAAACGGTCCCAGCTGCCCTTTAAGTCAGCACCAGGCAAACAAAAATATTCATGGTTATATAGAGAGAGAAAATACAAGACAAGCATGTATGCACATTTTTAAATAAATTAATGTTTATTCAGCCAAGATGCATTAAATAGATCAAAAGTATAGCTATTTATAATGTTACAAAATATTTATATTTTAAATAAACACTTTTTTTGTTTATTTGTATTTTTTTCATCACAGAATCCTCCAAAAATGTATCATGGTTGAAAAATATAAGAAGCACAACTGTTTTTAACATTGATAATAATAAGAAATGTTTCTTGAGCACCAAATCAGAATATTAGAATGATTTCTGAAGGATCATGTGACATTGAAGACTGAAGTAATGGCTGCTGAAAAATCAGCTTTGCTGTATAAAATTTATATAGCTGTATAAAAATGGGAAAAGTTATTTGAAGTGTTGCAATATTACAAAACCTTACCAACCCCAACTTTTCAACGTTAAGGTAAACAGTGAACCCAAAAATATTTCAACACCTCAGCCACATTTTAAAAATGTACTGTATATGTGAATATATACCAATTTATCACATTAGAAAGAACATAATTAAACTGAGTGGTGTCCTCAAATCTTGAAACAGTCTTGACTGAATAGCAATAAAGTGAACCCTTGAACCGGAAAACAATACAAATCAGAACTAACTGCACTTTTCTTAATCAATGACCATAAGTGTACTGTAAATACATAAAATAGATGCATGTATTCATATAGATGTGCTACACATATAAAGAGGTTAATTTGTGGAGAAAAATGTGATTGTATCTCAATGTATAATACCCTTTTAGTAAATGTTTTAATAGAACTTGACTGACATTCTCCTGATTCAACTCATTTCAAGAAATAACAGTCTTTTATTACCTTACCTCACTTCTGCATAGTATTTTAGTATTATGGCAAATCAGTCAACAAAGACCCACAAAAACTTTAAACACTGTGAATAATAGTTTGTTTTTCATTGTCTCTTATTGATTGGTATATTGCGCTAACTTAGTTTAAAAATTCAGATAAAGCATTTGCATACATTTAGGGACATATTACTTCTGTCTGGAAATAATACCAATTGATTACTGAACATTTGATAATGATATATGCTGTATGCACAATAATATCGTTTGACTGTTGTCTTCTACATTGTGATGAAGGAAAATGTTTCTGTGCAGGGTGAAGAACAGATCAGACATCATTGGAGCATTTAAAATGGAGCCGCTTTATCTGAAGCATGATCACCAAGAGTCAGGTAACCACTCAGCACTTTGCACTGCATTTGCTTCATATTTTAATTGCTCACACAATCTTACACATTTCAGTTAGTTTAGCACTGGAAACTGTCAGTCACTGTTGTAAATAATAAACAATAATAACACTAATAAAAGACTGAAGTGCATTAGCATGAGGTGTAAAGAGGATGACCATGATCCTCATTAATGAGACATGACGTTTTGTGCTGACATCCATTTTACGTCACAATGAAGGCTCGATCAGATTATTCACCTTAGTGCTCTGCTGTGTTCAGTAAGCCTCTGTGTGCTGATAAACAACAGCTTTTTAACCCGCTACTCTGACCTCAAGTAGATTTAAGAGTAATTTTTTTGCATGCATATGCTTTTGTGTGTCTATTTGGCAATAATACAGTATTTCACATACATATTGTAAGTTATGTATATCAAAAATACTGACCATAAAAAATTTTTGGACACCAAAGACGCTTAAAAATTATTCCATTATTAAACAAAGTGACTTTTATTTTTGGAAAAATAAATAAATAAATAAATACATATTTTACAGTTGACTGCCGGTTAACATGTAGTCTAAAAGGGCAGCATTTCAGTCAGGATTTATACATTCACTAAAATCACTTTTATACTATGGGTACAAGGAATTGTAAAATGTCTAAAAACAGTCTCTGATTATTTGTTTGCAGATGCCACTTTTTTGATATTTTGATATCTAATGCAGTAACAATAATCTGATCTCCCATTTCTGTTGTTTCCTCAAAAATGAGCCACCAATGAGCTCCCTGTTGCTTGTTGGGCATTTAAACATGGTTAAACAAAGACAGTTCCTCTGGTAATGTGTCTGTGGGCAGCATGCAGCTGTGCAGACGATTGTAATTGTGCTGACAGCAAAACAAAAGAGCAGCCCTGTCTCTCATCCCAGTACACAACACACACACACACACACACGTGCATATATGCATACACACCTTCAAGCCATTTCCATCATGAACTACTTCCTGATTAAATTAACAACAGGCTTGGCCAGTGGAAAAAAGAACAATATTATTTTTGAACATTTTATTGTTTGCTATCTGTAAAGAATAATTTGTGTGCTGTGTACTTGTCTCATGGTATTATTTACATCTGAGCTTGCTTTTTAGTGTGATATGGCTAAGTATTTAAATCTTTTTTCTGTATTCATAGGACTTGTCACTGATTATAGAGTAAGTATACTGCATGCAATATGTTTGTGTGCAGGTGTGCGTTTTTAAGATAATATTTGTTTAGCCAGCTGATGACCTCTGTTGACCTATATTAGGTTATTATCTGTTATCTATTATTATTACCTACCTAACTTATCTAGTACAGGTGAGTACAGGTTATTATCTAGTACAGATGTTCAGTGGCTGAAAAAAAAGTAGGTTGCAGGTTCCCTTTCAGTCGGTCACTCCGAGTCACGTTGGTGACCGACGAATTGGGATCTCGCTTAGAGAGACCAAACCACTTCGAGTGTAAACTAAATAAGCCAATGCACATTGGCATGCGATGATTGTATCCAGCTGCCGCTGATCACAGCGTGAGCATAAAAAGGCAGCCGGTGCAACGCATACCAGCTTTTCGCTTCGGAGCCGAGCGACAACATCGTTCTGCTCCTACCAAACAGCTTTGTGTGTGACGAGTCTAGCGTGCTCTCAGGAGCTTTTTGTGTTGGCGGACGACGCTTCAGCGTTGGTCGTTCCTGTGTCAAGTGGGTTGCGCACTTCAGGCTGCACTACCCCCTGTCGTGCTGCAAACGGCCGTTTCCCCTGTGCATCTCAGCACGTAAAAGAGCATTTCCCTAAAAGAGCCAATTTCTCTAAAAGAGTACAATAAGTGTGTCTTTGTAAAGATGAGGGATCGTCTTTTTAAAGATGCCGTTTCACCCATGCGTTTCTGGATGCGGTCGTTACCTGGCGCCGGGTGAGGGTCACGATCACTGCCTCACGTGTCTGGGCATTAAACACGCTGAGGTGGCGTTCGCGGATGAGTCATGTTCCCATTGCGGGAAGATGATCATCTCGGAGCTGAGGGCCACTGCCGCGATCTAGTGTTCGTCCTGGCGACAGCCAGGCGTGGACTACTTCGGGCAGTAGCACGGGCAGTCTGAGGGTTACAGTGGAGGCAAACCCCTCAGGGAACCAACACTCGAGGGACCACTGCTCCTCGGAACGCATACCAAAGAGCGTCAAAGAGTGTACCAGCGGTATCCTTCGGTGCTCCTCCCGATGACCGGATGTCGATCACTGCATCGGAGGGAGAGCTCTCTGGAGAGGAAGATTCGGCTGCGCTGCCGCCCTCCGGCACGGTGGCAAGGCCTGAATCGGATCCAGAGAAGTCGGCTATACTTTCCCAGGCTGGCTAGAGGGTAGGGCTCGAGTGGAAACCTCCACCGCGTCCCGGGCCCCATGAGGTTGGACGATTGGTTTCTCGGGGTGGCTCGCGCTGGTTCTCAGCACCCCGCCTCAGTGCCTTTCTTCCCGGATGTGCATGAGGAGCTCACCAGGTCATAGATAGCATACTCGTCTGGCCTGTCCGGCGATGCTTATACGGCCTGTGGAGAAGCTGCCTCCGCCTTACACGCTACGGAGTTACTGCAGGTTCATTTGAGGGACCTGCACAAGGGTAATCATGATCTGGAAGTTCTGAAAGAGCTCCGAACCGCTACTGACCTTGCGCTTCGAGCGACGAAGGTCACCGCGAGTTCTCTGGGTTGTGTGATGTCCACCCTTGTGGTCCAGGAGCACCATCTCTGGCTGTGTCTGGTTGATATGAGGGACGCCGACAAAGTTTGGTTCCTTAATGCCCCTGTGTCCCAGACCGGCCTCTTCGGCGACGTGGTTGAGAGCTTGGCCCTGCAGCTATCGGCTGCACAGAAGCAGACTGAGGCGGGTCGTCACACCCTGCCCCAGCGGGTAGCTGCTGCTTCCACCCCTCCTCCCGCGCCGCATCCGCAGTAGCCTCCAGCAGGCGGCGCAGTGGAGCTGGGCATAGGCAGGCCGCCCCACCCGTCCTGGCCCCCGTCAAACCTGGCGGTGAGCGAAAGAGCAAGAGGCCTCGGGACGGATGACCCAGAGAGGGAGGAAGCTGCTCTTTGGGGGATGGTGAAGGCACCTCTCCCTCCCCCGGAGGAGGGCCAGGTGGAGAATCTGGGAAATCTCGACGAGAGAGCGGTTTTCTCTGTCCCTGGGTCCCAGGAGGGCATGGAGAGTCATGGACAGACCAGCACCGGACCACACTCATCCTCCTCCATCGCCAGCAGGCAGCAGCAGGCGGTTCGAGAACATCAACAAAGGCCCTACTCACGCCAAACTGTGGAACCAGGTAAGCGTTGCACTGCACACTCAGAACCTTCTTCGGTCCGCTCACAAGCAGCCCGAGTTAGGTCCCTGTGTTCCACCTTGCTGCCCCACTGCGGGTACGGCGGTGGTTCCACTGGTCCCGTTTGCATGGTATCTGGTGCCTGGCTAGCGCTACCCAACCTGTCTCGTTGGCTTCTGCGGACCATCAGCTTCGGTTATGTGATTCAATTCACCCGGCATCCCCCCAAGTTCAGTGGCATCCACTTCAAGACAGTGAAGGCGGCTGATGCTCATGTCTTGCGTGTGGAGATCGCAGTCCTACTGGTGAAGGATGCGATAGAGCCGGTCCCTCCAGCTGATATGAATACAGGGTTTTACAGCCCTTACTTCATTGTACCCAAGAAAGTCAGTGGGTTACGACCAATCTTAGATCTGCGCGTCTTGAACCGGGCCCTTCGCCGGTTACCTTTCAAGATGTTGACGCAGAAACGTATCTTCGGGTGCATCCGTCACCTAAATTGGTTTGCCGCAATCGACATAAAGGATGCGTACTTTAATGTGTCAATCTTTTCTGGACCATTTCTGCGGTTCGTGTTCGTAGGACGAGCATATCAGTACGAGGTCCTGCCCTCCTGGCTGTCCCTGTCGCCCCGTGTCTTCACATAAGTTGCGAAGGCAGCCCTTGTTCCCCTGAGAGAACAGGGCTTTTGCATTCCCAACTACCTCAACGACTGGCTCATACTAGCTCAGTCTCAGCATCAGTTGTGTGCAAACAGGGACTTGGTGCTTTCGCACCTCAGCTGGTTGGGCCTTCAGGTCAACTGGGAAAAGAGCAAACTCTCCCCGACACAGAGGATCTCTTTTCCCGGTATGGAGTTGGATCCGGTCGAACAGACAGCACGCCTCACAGAGGAATGTGCGGTCGGTGCTGAACTGCTTGAATTCATTCAAGGGCAGGACAGCGGTCCCACTGAAACTATTTCAGAGGCTCCTGGGGCATATGGCAGCTGCAGCGGCTAGCGCCGCTAGGGCTGCTTCATATGAGACTGCTCCAGCACTGGCTTCGGGGCCGAGTCCCAAGGTTCCTCCGGGCAGGAGTGCCCCTAGAACTTGTCTCCAGGCATGCTGTGGTTTACATGGATGCCTCCACCACCGGCTGGGGGGCCACGTATAACGGGCACGCAGTGTCGGGGGTATGGACGGGCCCCCAACTGCACTGGCATATCAATTGCCTAGAGTTGTTAGCAGTGCGCTTTGCCTTGAACCGTCTCAAATGGTGCTTACGAGGCAAGCACGTGCTGGTCTGAATGGACAACATGGCGACCATTGTGTACATCAACCGACAAGGTGGTCTGCGCTCCCGTCGCATGTCGCACCTCACCCGCCACCTCCTCCTTTTGGAGTCAGAAGGTTCTGAGGTCACTTCGTACCATTCACATTCCGGGTCTGCTCAACCGTACGGCCGACGAGCTGTCACAAGCTACGATCCCGGGGAAATGGAGACTCCATCCCCAGATGGTCCAGCTGTTTTGGAGCAGCTCAGCTAGACCTGTTTGCCTCTCCAGAAACCTCTCACTGCCAGTTGTTCTACTCCCTGACCGAGGGAACACTCGGAACGGACGCACTGACACACAGCTGGCCGCGGGGCCTGCGCAAGTATGCATCTCCCCCAGTGAACCTTCTCGCACAGATGCTGTGGAAGGTCAGGGAGGACGAGGAGCAGGTCCTGCTTGTGGCGCCGTATTGGCCCACTCGGACCGGGTTCCCCAAACTAATGCTCCTCGCGACAGCCCCAAACCTGGCAGATTCCTCTGAGGAAGGATCTACTGACTCAGAGACGGGGCATCCTGTGGCACCCGTGTCCAGACCTCTGGAAACTTCGTGTAAGCTGGTCCCTGGACGGGACGCGGAGGTTCTTGGTGACCTACCCCAAGAGGTAGTTGATACCATCACTTCGGCGAGAGCACCATCTGCGAGACACGCTTACACCTTGAAGTGGAACCTGTTCGTCGAGTGGTGTTCTTCTCATCGGGAAGACCCCCGGAGATGCCCGATCGGGGTCGTGCTTTCCTTTTTGCAGCAAGGATTGGAGCGAAGGCTGTCTCCCTCCACCCTTAAAGTCTATGTCTCTGCGATTGCTGCTAACCACGACCCAGTGGAAGGGAAGTTGGTTGGGAAGCATGATCTGGTCATCAGGTTCCTTAGGGGGGCAAGAAGGTTAAATCCTCCTCGGCCCTCCTCTATACCCTCTTGGGACCGGTCTCTAGTGCTCAATGCACTACAGCAGGGCCCATTTGAGCCTTTGCAGTCAGTCGAGCTAAAGTTTCTTTCAATGAAAACTCTGCTCCTACTTGCACTGGCCTCCATCAAGAGGGTAGGGGACCTGCACACATTTTCGGTCGACGATTCGTGCATAGAGTTTGGGCTGGCTGACTCCCAGGTAATCCTGAGGCCCCGGCCCGGCTATATGCCCAAGGTTCCCACTACTTCCTTCAGGGATCAGGTGGTGAGCCTGCAAGCGCTGCCCCCGAAGGAGGTAGACCCATTCCTAGCTTTGCTTTGTCCCGTCCGAGCCTTGCGATGCTACGTAGACCGGACACAGAGCTTTAGGACCTCAGACCAGCTCTTTGTCTGTTACGGAGGCCGGCAGAAGGGGAATGCTGTCTCTAAGCAGAGGATGGCCCACTGGATTGTGGATGCCATCACCCTGGCTTATCAGGCACAGGGTGTGCCCTGCCCGCTCAGTTTGCGAGCTCACTCTACTATGAGTGTTGCATCCTCCTAGGCGCTGACTCGTGGTGCCCCGCTGACAGATATTTGTAGGCTGGGCAACCCCCTGTACTGTACTGTAGGCCCTGTCGAGCTCCTCAGTCCCCTCGGCAGCCAGATGTGGCGGAACGTCCGGCGCCAGGCCCTCAATCGCTGAATCCGTGAGAACCGGTAGAGGGCTGGGTTCCATATGTAGAGGCCTAAGTGGTTCCCATATGTGTAAAGTCCACGGTATAGAATAAGAGGCCGTGTTTCCCTGGCAGATTTCTGCCATTTCCATGAGGGTTACAATAACCTCTAATCTTCCGTATGCACCTAAACGGATGTCATATGCTACCGAAACCTCTTTCGGGAAGGATGGGGCTTCTGCAACATTTCTGTTCCAAGTGGAATGGGTACGTTTTCCCAGTGTTATCTAATCTCACTGAGTGGGTAGTGCTATGACAACAGTGACTGGTCTTCTTGTTGCGAGCCCCGGTCTACACCACAAAGGGGTGCAGGTGGCTCAAACAGGACACTGGAAGGGGCAGCATCCATAGCGCTTTGGTAGAGATCCCAATTCATCGGTCACCGACGTGACTCGGAGTGACCAACTGAAAGGGAACGTCTCTGTTGACTGGTCTTCTTGTTGCGAGCCCCGGTCTACACCACAAAGGGGTGCAGGTGGCTCAAACAGGACACTGGAAAGGGCAGCATCCATAGCGCTTTGGTAGAGATCCCAATTCATCGGTCACCGACGTGACTCGGAGTGACCAACTGAAAGGGAACGTCTCTGTTATGTATGTAACCCTTGTTCCCTGAAGGAGGGAACGGAGACATCACGTCCCGTCGCCATGGCTACTGTACCATCGCTGAGCGGCCGGGTCACCGGCTTGACTCCTGAGCGAAAACCTGGTATGCGTTGCACCGGCTGCCTTTATATGCTCACGCTGTGATCAGCGGCAGCTGCATGCAATCATCGCATGCCAATGTGCATTGGCTCATTCAGTTTACACTCGAAGTGGATTGGTCTCTCTAAGCGAGATCCCAATTCGTCGGTCACCGATGTGACGTCTTCGATCCCTCCTTCAGGGAACGAGGGTTACATACGTAACTGAGACGTTTTCTGTGATAGAGTCGCTAACAGCAGTGAATAACTATGATACATATTTAGGATAGACAAATAAATATGGTTCTAAACGTAGGTTATGGATAGGGTTAATAGAATATGTTGACATGTATACTTGCAAAGTTTTTGCACAATATAAATTTTGGTGTTGAAGCAAAACCAATGTATAAACCAAAACCAAAAGAAATGTATAATTTCATCGATAGTTATTTACCTCTGTGTACTCAATTGTTCTTTATATAGGAAGAAACAAGTATTTTAATGTGTATTTAAGTCAAATATAAGTGTTGAGAGAAGGAGACAGTCACTTTTTGTATAAGAATTACAATTTTCTGTATATTCAGAGGTGTATGTGCCTGTGTTTGTGTCTGTGATTCATGTTTAATTATGTGAGCACAGTTCATATGTCATATCTCATCTCATCTCCCTTCAGCACTGGCAGATCCCATTGGGTCGTAGGTTCCGCTCTCTCAAGATATGGTTTGTGTTTCGCATGTACGGACTCAAAGGTCTCCAAGCCTACATCCGCAAGGTAAATGCCTTTAATCCATGCTGTCAATCTAGTTAGCCTTGCCAGTCACATCTTATTTGGCTCCACAGTCTATTTTGAATGATGCAAATCAGTGCACTTTTATTCTTTAAGACATCTTCATTATATGTTCTGTTCTGCACATGCACTATATGTTTGTTGAGAAATATAGAGCATACAGAACCTATTTTTAAACTCTTTGTATGTTCTTGTTAGTATAAAATTAGTAGAATATAATAAAGATTGTACTTCTTATTTTTTCAGTCATTCTGATTGACTCAGGTTTAACGGTCAGCTCTCAACTGCTGGACAGTATAGCATAAGGAATAACTGTCTGAGAATGAGGAAATTGTGTGGTCAGATTTGATTCCAGTAATCAGCATTGAAAAAATTATTACTGATAAACTTAATCTGTTTAGAACCATTTATTCTGCATGATTAGCACATGATAATTCTCTGCTCTGGTTGCTTATTTTAATCTACAGGCTGCCCTCTGCTGGTATAAATGAAGATTGTATTTCACCCAAAGATGAAAGTTCTGTTCTCTTTTTTAGTCTTATTTATTATTATTATTATTATTATTATTATTATTATTATTATCTTTGAAAGTTGTATGGCTGACATTCAGTTCAAACTAAATTTATTTTGTTTCTGATCTGTTGGGTTACAGTTTTGGGGATATATTTCACATTTCACAACAATTTCCTTCTAACTATCCATCCATACATCCATCCACTAATTATTTCTTTATTTACATGATGAATGATAATTTAGTCATACAATGTTGCTGTGTCAGTTTTACACAAATTAGGTGCCTAATTGCATGTCTAAAATGCATTGTTCATTTTGTTTCAGCATGTAGGGCTGGCCAAAGAGTTTGAGTCTTTGGTGAGAGCTGATCAACGCTTCGAGATCTCAGCAGATGTAGTGTTGGGCCTCGTCTGCTTTAGACTCAAGGTCAGAGAAAAACATTCTTCCTACAGAAACAAACCCATTTCTTCCTGTGGTTGTAATAGACTGACTCTCGGAGGTGGTTAACTATGGAAAATTGCAGTATTACTGATTTTAATTTCCAACTATGTACAAAGAGACCAGCACAAATTACACAAAATTGTGTTGATAGTAATTGCAACAACAAAGTGTATAATAATAATAATAATAATAATAATAATAATAATAATAACCAGTAGCTATAGCTCTGCTACCACAAGACATAATACACATTTGATAAAAAAATATTTTGGAGAAAAAACTTACCAATATGTTAATTTACATTTTGCAAACTTAAAATGCAATTATCTACATTCAGGCAAATGTACAAAAAAATATTCTTTTTTAATTTTAAAGTTGTAGATATTTTGTTGTGTTTTTGTCATTGTTTTAAATATGTATAGTTTTGGTCACACTTTGTTTTAAGGTCCAATTCTTGCTATTAACAAACCGTTCACTACGACTTTTGGCTCAGTAAACTCCTAATTTGCTGCTTATTAATAGTTAGTAAGGAAGTTGTTAAGTTAGGTTTTGGGTGGGGTTAGGGATGTAGAATATGGTCATGCAGAATATGCACTTTATAAGTACTAATTAACAGCCAATATATCAATAATAGGCATGCTAATAAGCAACTTGTTAATAGTGAGAATTGGTGACCTAAACTAACTCTTACCATATTTTTTTTAATTAAATTTTATTTTTTTATTTGAATACTTCAGCTTAAACAAAATGAAAATGTTGAAATATATATATATATATTTTTGTATTTTATTTTATTTCAATTAATATTTATTTTAGTTCATTTTAATTAACAATAAAAACCATTATATATATTTTGCTGGTTGATTTACTTAAACACAGTCCAAATAATTATAATGTAATGCTAAATATATTGGACTTGCTTGAGTCAAGTGTCTTTGTTAGCACATTTTTTAGATCAGTGAGCAGTTACAAAATATCCTAACTGAGCTGTGTGTTAAACCCTGCAGGGCTCCAATGAATTAAATGAAACTCTATTGAAGAGGATCAACAATGCACGTAAGATCCATCTGGTACCGTGCCAACTGGCAGGCAAGTTTGTTCTGCGGTTTGCCGTGTGTGCCCGTACTACTGAGTCACGGCATGTTCAGGAGGCATGGTGCCACATCAGCCACCTGGCATCAGAGCTGCTTCAAGAACTGCCCCACTGACCACTGTGGTGGGCATCACATGTTAAGTCAAATGGGTGATCTGTACCACGTCTGCTATCCACACTGTCTTAGTTTCACTCTACTGCTGTGAACTACTATTTATTGTCACAATGCGTGTGTGTGAGTGTATGCATGTTGTCACAAAGGTGTCCACTTAGAGTGCAGAGTGTCTGTGTCTTTGTGAGCTTGATCGTACATGTCCTCTGCTGTGAGCAGTGTTGTTTTTTTTTGTTTGTTTTTTTTAAGTACTGTTGTATACTTGTGCACTTGAAAATGTGTCTATATTGAAAATGAAATATGTTTAATGAGATGTTCAGAGAATGTTTTCTCTGAATAATAGTACAAAGAAAGCAGAATGCTTTACCAGAGCATTGTCCTTTACATTTTTCACTATAGCTTTGCTCACTAGTGCTGCATTTTCAAAATGCAAAATCAAATATCCAGCCTAATCATAGCCTAATTCCTCTTTTCTGTCTTTTTCTAAAAGCATTGTTCTTGACTCAGCACAGCTGCTGGGATGAGATACCACACCAACATTCTTTGAAAGTTGTTGTGCCTGACTAGTTAAAAAGATTAGACTCTGCTACATATTAAACAGTAGTGTGTATGTATTAACATTGACAATAAAGTGCATTTCTCCCAAAGTGCTGCATGTGAATTTTATATTAGTTTATTGCAAGATTTCAGTTTGTTAATTCACTATCAGTGTTCATAATCTTGTATCCTCTAGGTAGATGAGTTCCTAGACCAGGGGTCTTCAAACTCGCTCCTGGAGGGCCGGTGTCCTGCAGAGTTTAGCTACAACTTGCCTCAACACACCTGCAAGTGTCTAGCATGCCTATAAGACATTGATTAGCTGGTTCAGGTGTGTTTAATTAGGGTTGGAGCTAAACTCCGCAGGACACCGGCCCTCCAGGACTGAGTTTGGAGACCCCTGTTCCATATATTGTGTAGGATTTTTCTGATGAAAAACACCATCTGCAGTATCTGTGCTAAGACCACTGCCACCTACCAGTCTGCTGTACTTCTGCCACAGTAACCTAAAGTGCACGATTCTTTACTATTTATAATTGTTAAAAATACTTTGTAAGTGTACAGTAAAAAAGTACTTATAAACAATTTGTAAAATATTATTTTATATATTTATATATTATACTATATATTTATTTAATATTTAATATATTTATATTAGGGCTGTCAATCGATTAAAAAATTGTATCTAAATAATTACAGGATGTGGCGATTAATTAATCAAGCATAGCGTTAGTTCTGGCAGGTCACGTCAGTCAAGCTTGCATCAGCCCTCAGAGAGACCATTAGATACAAATATGCAAATTACCTAATTAACAGTACTTTACCGTGCTTGTGAAAACTGTATGGCTGTTTGAATATACACAAATACATATTAAAGCTACAGAAGTTAGTTAAGAGCAGTGAGTGATTGTCTATTTATCTTTTGTTGTTTGATTAACATTATCAACATAAGAAATGCACGTTTCCGTTATATTGACACACATCCGAGGGCTTATTTTGTGCCGGAACAAGTCGGATCTGGATCCGATCCGGCACCTCATTTGGTGGACCCCCATCCTCACGCACCAATGAAAGATGTTTGTGCTGACCTGTAGCGTGCATATATTTCATGAAAAAACATACATAATAATGATAATGTCACTGACTTTATCCCATTTTAATATAAAATTATAATAAAAGTAAGAAATTAGATATGCGTGTTATCTATGCCAGCTGCAGGTTTTGTAGGTTTTATTTCCACAGTAATAAACTACTTCCGTAATTGGTGGATACTGATTTGTATGTGTGAGGGGAGGGAAAGCTTCATAGCCTACTTAATCAGAAATGTAGAACAATAGCGACTTCTCTCTTTTCTTTCATTTTCCCTTATTGTTTGGTTGTTTGTTTACAAAAATACTAGCTTTTTTACTTCGTACATTAACAAGTAGACTACTTATAATTAAATCCTCAAAACTTAAAATGTTCTAGAAAAATGGTTGCGAAAATACCAATGTGACTTATTTAGGACATGACATCCCTTTAGTTTGCTTTGCATTAAATAAAATGATTTACAGCAAAGAAACTGTTTTATAGATTAAATAAAACATACACAAACCTATATTTTACCAAAGTAAACCCCTAGCCACCTGAAGAGGATGCAAAATATCCATGCTCATTACAACCGCTGGGTTGTTGCGACTGTCCTGTCCCAGGAGCTGGGTTGCACAAAAACACACACACAAAACAAAGGGTTTTAAATAAAATAACCTATGCTTTTTTAGAAGACATGTGCAAACTATAAAAGCAAATGATGCAAGATGTTAATCACTTCAGTTGGTCCACTAATGTGATTCGGGATCGGTCAACCCCAGTGATGTTTTGGTGCCTGTTTTTTTTTTTTTAAGCAGCCCAGCAAAGGATGAATGCCCTGTGTTATAAACAGTGTAAGACTAGTCTTGCATATTTAGTTCACCAGTAATATTTGCACATTAACTTCAGCTGCTTGACTTCACGGAGTAGACTAAGGATGATTATGAACATAATATTACCCACAGAAGAGGTGCAGATTTTGCAATAAATAATTCAAATAAAAAATAAATAAATAAATAGACTGCAGCAATTAATATTTTGTCAGAACCTAGTAAATTACATGCTATTTTGTTTATTTGTCTGTTCAGAATCATGATACAAAATTGTGGTTTTCAATTTATCCAGATTTGTGCAGCTCTAGGCTACTCCTATGTGTGACTGTTTCTCCCATGACATACAGTCAGAGGCGTTAGGCCTATTCAAACCTAACAAAGAGTTTTGAACCAAGAGGATTTTGAGCGCAGCTTCCAAAAAACAAAAATAGCCTAATGATATTTTTAGATTTGATACGATGACACCGGTGTGATTAAAAGTGCACATCATCAGCTGCTAAATTCAAATCTGCGTTCGCGCTTTGGCTGGAGCTGAGCCGGAGACAGACGCACTCACTTGCCATGCATCAAAACTTTTCAATGTTTTCAACCATATATTTATTTTATGTTTCTCACACTTAAATACGCACAGTACTAGCTAAATAAATAAATAAAAAAAAGTTTGTAAAATACACACTGGAGGGGAGAAGGGTGTTCCTGCACAACCGGAGGCTGCAGTTTCAGCATTTCTAGGATCGCATTTCCAGGACCTTAGTTTTTTGTAACAGCGCCACCTACCGAATTGGATAACCAAGAACACCAATATAATATGGACGACATGGACAGCAATCAAAGTGTGAATACTGATTTTTTTTAAGTTTTATTTTATAATGTTAAAATGATGCAAAAGTTTACATAGCCAAAGTGAGAGCTGCTTTACTATAAATTAATAATTAATTCCCACGAATTAAGAATTTGTGTGCTAGTTTTATTAATTATTACGACGTTCTTAATTCGTGGCCATGATTTAATTAAACCTTGTTGACTTAATGACTGTAATACAAATATGCAAATTACCTAATTAACAGTACTTTACCGTGCTTGTGAAAACTGTATGGCTGTTTGAATATACACAAATACATATTAAAGCTACAGAAGTTAGTTAAGAGCAGTGAGTGATTGTCTATTTATCTTTTGTTGTTTGATTAACATTATCAACATAAGAAATGCACGTTTCCGTTATATTGACACACATCCGAGGGCTTATTTTGTGCCGGAACAAGTCGGATCTGGATCCGATCCGGCACCTCATTTGGTGGACCCCCATCCTCACGCACCAATGAAAGATGTTTGTGCTGACCTGTAGCGTGCATATATTTCATGAAAAAACATACATAATAATGATAATGTCACTGACTTTATCCCATTTTAATATAAAATTATAATAAAAGTAAGAAATTAGATATGCGTGTTATCTATGCCAGCTGCAGGTTTTGTAGGTTTTATTTCCACAGTAATAAACTACTTCCGTAATTGGTGGATACTGATTTGTATGTGTGAGGGGAGGGAAAGCTTCATAGCCTACTTAATCAGAAATGTAGAACAATAGCGACTTCTCTCTTTTCTTTCATTTTCCCTTATTGTTTGGTTGTTTGTTTACAAAAATACTAGCTTTTTTACTTCGTACATTAACAAGTAGACTACTTATAATTAAATCCTCAAAACTTAAAATGTTCTAGAAAAATGGTTGCGAAAATACCAATGTGACTTATTTAGGACATGACATCCCTTTAGTTTGCTTTGCATTAAATAAAATGATTTACAGCAAAGAAACTGTTTTATAGATTAAATAAAACATACACAAACCTATATTTTACCAAAGTAAACCCCTAGCCACCTGAAGAGGATGCAAAATATCCATGCTCATTACAACCGCTGGGTTGTTGCGACTGTCCTGTCCCAGGAGCTGGGTTGCACAAAAACACACACACAAAACAAAGGGTTTTAAATAAAATAACCTATGCTTTTTTAGAAGACATGTGCAAACTATAAAAGCAAATGATGCAAGATGTTAATCACTTCAGTTGGTCCACTAATGTGATTCGGGATCGGTCAACCCCAGTGATGTTTTGGTGCCTGTTTTTTTTTTTTTAAGCAGCCCAGCAAAGGATGAATGCCCTGTGTTATAAACAGTGTAAGACTAGTCTTGCATATTTAGTTCACCAGTAATATTTGCACATTAACTTCAGCTGCTTGACTTCACGGAGTAGACTAAGGATGATTATGAACATAATATTACCCACAGAAGAGGTGCAGATTTTGCAATAAATAATTCAAATAAAAAATAAATAAATAAATAGACTGCAGCAATTAATATTTTGTCAGAACCTAGTAAATTACATGCTATTTTGTTTATTTGTCTGTTCAGAATCATGATACAAAATTGTGGTTTTCAATTTATCCAGATTTGTGCAGCTCTAGGCTACTCCTATGTGTGACTGTTTCTCCCATGACATACAGTCAGAGGCGTTAGGCCTATTCAAACCTAACAAAGAGTTTTGAACCAAGAGGATTTTGAGCGCAGCTTCCAAAAAACAAAAATAGCCTAATGATATTTTTAGATTTGATACGATGACACCGGTGTGATTAAAAGTGCACATCATCAGCTGCTAAATTCAAATCTGCGTTCGCGCTTTGGCTGGAGCTGAGCCGGAGACAGACGCACTCACTTGCCATGCATCAAAACTTTTCAATGTTTTCAACCATATATTTATTTTATGTTTCTCACACTTAAATACGCACAGTACTAGCTAAATAAATAAATAAAAAAAAGTTTGTAAAATACACACTGGAGGGGAGAAGGGTGTTCCTGCACAACCGGAGGCTGCAGTTTCAGCATTTCTAGGATCGCATTTCCAGGACCTTAGTTTTTTGTAACAGCGCCACCTACCGAATTGGATAACCAAGAACACCAATATAATATGGACGACATGGACAGCAATCAAAGTGTGAATACTGATTTTTTTAAAGTTTTATTTTATAATGTTAAAATGATGCAAAGTTTACATAGCCAAAGTGAGAGCTGCTTTACTATAAATTAATAATTAATTCCCACGAATTAAGAATTTGTGTGCTAGTTTTATTAATTATTACGACGTTCTTAATTCGTGGCCATGATTTAATTAAACCTTGTTGACTTAATGACTGTAATAAGTAAATCTAGCCAGCACATTAATTAAACTTAAAAAGATG